TCAGGAAAATGAAAATTAAAACTACAGTGTGATACCACTCAATACCCAGAGGAGGGTGACTACATTAAAAATATTCAAAGTACTCAATCGGTGCCAAAGATATGGAACAACCAGAATTGCCACACTCTATTGAGAGGAACACAACATAGTACAACCACTTTGGAAAATGATTTAATGATTTAGCAGTTCCTGATAGAGTTAAATATGTACCTTTCATGCGATTCAGTAATTCATCAAATATTTATTCAAAAGAAACTAAAACTATATACATACATATATATATACATATACATATATATGCATACATATGTATATATGCAAGTGACCTATATCAAATACAATAGTTGCATACATAATAGTCCAACCTGAAAATAACCTAAAAGTCTATCAACAAGACAAATTTCCATATGTTTACACAATGGAGTGTTGCTCATTAAAAGAGAACAAACTTCTGATAAATACAAGATGGATAGTTTGTATTTTTTTTTTCTTTTTGGTACCAGGGATCAAACTCAGGCCCCTGTGCTCGCAAGGTAAGGGAACCACTTAATCAGAACCACTGAGCTAAATCCCAGCCCTACAAGGTGGATAACTTTACAGGACATTACATTGAGCAAGGGAAGCAAGAAACAAAAGTGTTCACAGTATGATGCCATTCATATGAAGTTCACAGTCAAGCTAAGTATGTGCCCAGTAGACCAGTAGTCACACTAGCAGCCACCTCAGTAGGTGAAAGAAAAATACACTCAGGATTGTACATTGTAATGTGTGCAAAAAAAACCTTAATTATGTACCACAAAATAATTTTAAGCCACTACGCTATACACATTTGACAATTTACCTGTTCCTTGTTCTTCTACTAGCAGAGGTATGCTTATAAGTCCTTTATATTTTTTTTCTTTTTATTGAGGTTATTGGTACGATCTAGGTATACAATACAATTACATTCATTATTGGGATTCTGTACCTTTACATAATAGGTCTTGATTCTCATTTTTCCCCTTGTCCCTGCCCTCCCTTCACCCCCTCCTCCCATCCCCATTTACAAACACTTTATTTCCATTTTTTCAGTTTCTCATATTTTTTTCCTCTCCCTTATTACCTTTCCCCCACCCTTCCCACTTTCCTTACACCTTAAGTCCTTTATATTTTAAGAACTTTACATTGCTCAAAGTCCATTCAGTAGTGAGGTTCCTCTCTCTCTCTCTCTCTCTCTCTCTCTCTCTCTCTCTCTCTCTCCCTCTTTCACTACCAATTTACTCTTGATCTTAGCCAAAAGGCCAAGAAGCAATTCACTAACAATTTAGTGTCTAGATCAGCTGACATTTTCCTAGCAGCTACGAGTCCTGCTATATTTATAAAGCAGAATAACTAAAACTATTCCATTGGGGTCCTTAGTTGGAAAATTTACATCAGTGTTTTTCCAAATCAGCAGAAACGCTGCTTCTGATCTCTCGTATGTAATAAGGATGATTCCATTCAGATGAATAAGCAGAATACTACCCAACAAGAACTATCATTCAGAGAAGCCCGCAGAGCCCAGCTAGTCAAGAAACCCAAGGGAACGCTTGCTTGACCCACTCAGCTTTCCAAGGGCTTGTGGGATTGTTTGAGAGTTAAAATAAAGAATACCTTGTCCAATGTAACTGTACTGTATCCCTAAAATGTACCATAAATTCAATTAAAGCTGAAAAAAAAAAGAGAATCAAGACTTGTCATGTGGAGGTACAAGATCCCAACAATGAATGTAACTGTACTGTATCCCTAAAATGTACCAATAAACTCAATTAAAGCTGAAAAAAAAAGAATACCTTGTCCAAAATACTAAAATAAAATGACAAAATTGAATTTACAAATTTTTAATGTCTACATAAGGCACTGTCCACTAAAAACCATCTCAACATACGCATATGTAAGTTACACTAATTGGGTATTTAGTAAAATATGGGTACATTTGATCATGGTTAGCCTGATGTAGGTTGAGGCATCCAAAACAGAGTTGCCTTGATATCACAAAGGTCAAGAAACTAGCGTCTTGATTAATGTCATGTTGTAACTCTCCTGTTCAATCTAACACTTTCCCCACTCTCTTCATTTTTTGTGGATGTGGTAATTTTAATAGCTTCTTTCATTTCTGCAATCAACAAGGAAAGTGAGCCTACATGGTGGTGGGAACCAGGAGCCCGAGCTCGTGAAGAGAGAATCTCCAGTGCCCAGTGGAAAGAGCCAGCCGCCTCTCCCTTCATGACACCCCTTCCGCCTTCGGCACGTGTGGAGCCCCTGTTTCTTATTCTGCTGCTGTTCATGCCATCCCAAGGTTTGTAAAGGCGACCAACAGTTTCTTGGGTCACAATCCAGCATCCCAAATCCTGGAAAATTCCTACGGTGTAAGTCATTTAAATATGTGCTACATTTTTTGTTTGTTTGTTTGTTTCCACTGACTTTCAGAGTGGACTAGAAGGAATATTCATTCAGAATGGAAACTACATAGGCTTAGGAGTCACCCAGGCCTGCGTCGTTCATGTTCATCCCAGGAAAGAGCTCTTAGATCTTGGTCATAATTTGGCACAGGCTGGGAAAAATAGCACTGGGTTGGGAGTTCTGAATGGGGTTCTGTCATTTACAGACTTTGTAACCTTGCATAAATCTGTCTTAGCCTCGGTTTCCTCACCTGTAAAGTGGAAGAACCAAAATTTCACAGAGCTACTTTCATGAAAATTAAGCATGTGAGCAATGGGATTCGCACAATGCCTGGCACGTAGTAAATCAGTCAGGCAGGGGGGAAAAAAGATTAATGGTTGCCAAGGTCTGGGAGGAGTAGAAAATGGGGAGTGAATGCTTAAAAGGTACAGGTTTCCTTGTGGAATGATGAAAATGTTCCGGAGCTAGACACGGACCGTGATTGCACAACAGTGTGAATGTACCGAATGCCACGCCACTGTACGCTTTAAAATGATTAAAGTGGTGAAGTTTATGTGACGTGTATTTTACTACATAAGAGGAAAACAACTGAGAGGCTTCCTTCTCCAGCCAGCGGAGTGAGTGGAGAGGAGGAGAAAACCGGGGCCTGTGAGGAGTCCCTCCCGTGGAGGCAAGAACTGCGAACCGAGGCAGAAGCAGACAAGCGAGTATCGCCGTGGTCAGGGTGAGGGGAGAGGCAGAGCTCAGGTGGGGGCCTCAGTGAGTGCGGCTGGAGGGGAGTGAGGGAAGACTGCAGGGCCAAAGGTAAACGGCGCTGCCAGACTCAGAAGCTGCTATGCTCAGTAGATGCCAGCATGGTGCACAAAGTGCAAGTCAGAGAGAGCAAGGAGATAGCAAGTCTGGGAAAAGTGAGTCATGGGGAAAGGGAAGGCAGCGTCACTCATCCACAGAGGAAGAGGACGACCACACAGCAGCCCGATAGGCCTCAGAGGGCTCCGTCTGAGGCTTGGCGGAAGACTCGTCTGGAAGTGAGCCAACATCAACGCCCAGCAACCCCACACACCCTCCACTCCCCGGGCCCTCCCGGGATTTTCGTTCTGGACAATGTGGGTTGAGGCACATGGCGAAAAAAGGCCGTGTTTTGCAATTTCACAGCTACCTCCCACCACTTCACACTGTTTAACTCTGGAAAAGTCATTTAATTTTTCCTATATCTCCATTTTCTCCTTTGTGAAAGAGGAAAACCTGCTCACAGTGCTGGTAGGAAGAGTTAGTGAAGTAGGCAGGTAAAGGACATCCGCAGAGCATATCTTTAATAAGTGTGGCTTTAATAAGTTCTCTTTCTCTTTTTCCAGTGGTGCATATTCACTCATGAATCCATTTCCTCTTTCCATCAGGCCGGAAAGGAAGAGAAGACACAGGAGTGGATTATGATAAGAAAACAGAAACTGTTTCCCACAATAAATGTGTGTTAAAGATGACATTTTAACCAGAGCTATAGAAGTAACTTTATTCATAATAGTCAAAAAATGGAAACAATCCAAATATCCATCAATAGTCGGCTAGATAAATCTGTTGTGGGATACATTAAGTGCTTCCACAGCAATTTAAAAGTACTACTGACACACACAGCAAAATGGATGTCAACAGCCATTACATTGAACGAAAGAAGCCAGACACAGAAAAGTACATATAATTTGACTCTGTACAAATGAAGTTCTCTGTGGGAGGTGTCTAGGAAGGGATACAAAGGAGATTTGCAGAGGGCTGGAAATGATCTGTGCCTTCATTTCTTTGGTAACTTGCTTTTCATGCATATGTAAAAATTCACTGAGGTGTGTACTTAAGATTAGTGCACTTTTATATTATTCTGCAATGGGTTAGAGGCTGCCACAAAAGTCTGCAAGGATGGACTGACCACGCTACCCAAACACCCAAAATGCCAAGTCTGCAGTTGTGTAAATGGCTCAAAAACCCTCTGATCTAAAAGTACAAAGATTGAAAGGAAAAGTAAAATTTGACCTTGAGGGGACCAAACAAGAAAAACTGGCAGTGAGAAGCCAGGAAGGAAAGTGCTTTGTTGTAGTTTCCTCAAAAGTGCTGAATAAAACTATCTTTCAAGTTTTCGTTTTTCTTACTGTCACTCGGGCATAGCTGTTTTAGTGGAGTCTGTTTTCATAGGAAAAACATGATTAAGAAGAAAGGTGAGTTGTAGCGCATTCTAACATTTTTAAAAATTTTAATGTTATTGGTACAATTCAGATATGCATAATGACCACATTCATCATAGGCAATTTGTACCTGTACGTCACGTATCTTGAGTCCTCTTTTTTTTTTCCATTCCCCTCTCCTCCCTTCTACCCCTTTCCCTCCTTATATACAAAGCCCCATTTCAACTTTTTCCTTATTTTCTCATTTTTTTCATTTTCTTTCTCTTTTCCCCCTCCTCTCTCCCTAGTTTGTCTTTCCTTTTGAACATTTTTTTCCTGTTTCATATTATTATACATTTTGCGCCCTATATACAGTTTCAGTTATTCTTTTACTTGAACATTATTAACAGATGGACCATGTGTACTTTACAGTCTTTGCTTCTCTGCTGTTCTATACCAGCATAATTTTACTTCCTCGCCTCAAACTCAGCAACTATATTGAGCTGCCACCAGGTCACTAGTGATGCCATTTTGATGGTCTTTGCAGTATAGTAAAGATAAGATCCACAGAAGCAAAGCAGAACTAGAAAAACTCAGACCCACTGCGGCAAGTTGCTCGTGTTTCCAGCCCTTTTGGACACTTTTCCTATATATAAGGAATTTCCACATTATGAGGTCCCCCTTTCTGAGACTCATGCCAGGAAACTCACTTTACCACCCTCTCTTGAAGTGGGAGGACAGACATATGCGCCAAGCTCCACTGACCAAATACAAAATAAACATAATTTTCAGTACAGGAAAATGAAGTAGATACCATGTAGAATCCATTTTCTGGCAAGTAACTATAGCTGCCAGTTGGGGAGAGCAGCGGGAGTAGGGTTTGGGGGAGAAAAGGGATGGTTTGACATACCTGCAACAGGTAGCAACAGCAGAGGTATCTGTGTGGGATCAGTGGCCACTGACCCTAGGCACATAGCCTCAAGTTTAATTCTCTGACCCTCTCAATGGCTCCATAAGTTATACTATGTCCTCTAATAAACCTCTTCCTGCTTAAGCAGGAAGGCTAGAGAAAATTCTGTTGTTTGCACTCTTAGTCCAAGTTCTCCAGAGTCACAGAACCTGTACAGTATGAATGTGAATACATTATACACACACACACACACACACAAACACACACATGTATAGTTATACTGGAACTGGCTCACACAATTTCTAGGGTTGGCAAACCTGAAACCCATAGGTCAGAATGGCAGGCTGGAAACTTGCGAGAAGCTGACACTGCAATTGTGAAGGATTTCTCATTTTTCAGAAAATCTGTTTTTGTTCTGAAGCCCTTTCATTGGGTTTTAAATAAGGTCCACCCATGTTTCCAAGGGCAATCTTTAAAGTCAACCAATTGTAGATATTAATCATGTCTATAAAATACCTTCATGGCTACACCTGGATTAGTCCTTTAATTAAATAACTGGGCCCTACCACCTAGCCAAATTGACACATAAAACTAACCATCACACCTGCCAAAGTAAACTGTAGGAATGGGTTTTCAAAGTATGAACAGTAAAGACCCTTCACTCGGATGGAACCCTCTTGGTGCATGTGACAGGTTTCCAGCTGCAAAAATTCCATGCACTGTTGTCCATGCCAAGCAAAGTCCACCTAAACTAGGCCTCTGCACTCAAAAGAGGAGCCCTCCTGGGAAGCCATCCCACCCACCATCACCACAGCCCTTCTCTGGCCCCAGCTGTCGGCATCTCTGGGTTGGAACACGGCCACAGCCTGTCCTTCCTGCTCCACTCTGCTGTGTACCCACCAGAGGCTGCTTTTTCCAAAACAGTAGTTTTATTGCATCTCCCTTGATTAAATTTTCCCCAAGAACCATTATAGTCTTTCTGTTTCCTTGGGCCTGTGGCCATTAAAGTTTGCTTACAAACAACAGGCACGAGCTCTGGCATAAGCAACTCTAAAGGCCATAGGATGAAAGGAAAAGCTAACCGGAGAACTCAGGAATCCAGACTGCCCTGGGGATCTGGGAAGCAGGAACTAGTGAACAGCCTTTGCAGAGCCCAGCTGCAGAGATGAATCAGAGTCCAGAATCTCAGTCTTGGGCTGGGGATTAAGCTTAGCGGTTCTGCTGCCTGCCTCTCAAGTGCAAGGTCCCAAGTTTGATCCCTAGTACTCCCCCCAAAAAGAATCTCAGTCTCCGTGGAATGCCATGCAGGGACCAATTAACACAGACAGGGTGTGTGATTGCCCAGGATTGGCCCTATCTCTAGTCCAGAATATGCTCTTGATGAACCATTGAGAGTGAAATTAATGAGAGAGATAAGGAAATTGGCAAAGCAAGGGGTATTCAATGCAGGGAAATAGATACTTGGCAAACAAGGACAAGACACAGCCACTCTGCACCTACTTCCGAGATCCAAAGGACCTTCTACATCAAAGCAACTGGGCAGCATCCACAAGGCCAGGAAAGAATGGTTGAATCATTCCTTTATCCACTAAGGAAAAACAAAGATTTTCTCGACTGTAAGATAGGCCCAGGCCCAAAGATGGTCAGCCTAAATCCCAATTCCCCATTGATTCTTGCCCATGGCTTCTCCTGAGGGATGCTATGTCCAAAGTGTTTAGCACCAAGTCCTTTTCCCGAGCTCATATCTTACCCTTCTGCCTTTGCTCCTCTGTTCACTAGATACAAAGGCCTGTGTGACTGGGAAAAGGATCTCAGGCTGCGAATGGAGGAAAAGGAGGCGGACTGCCAGATCCCAGAGCCCCTACTCTGGTCTCAGGAGTGAAGTTGGGGCCGACCAAGCAAACTGAGTGAAAACAAAAGTCAGGCTCACCAGCATTTCTCCTGCTTCATTGTTTTTATTTACCGTCTCTTTAACCCCACTGGGAATGTGAGTTCCACACTGGTAGAAGCTTTATCTATACTGATCACTCACAGCTGCATTCCCAAGCCCGTCGCGGTAACTGGCACACAGTAAGCACTTGGGAAAGTAAACGCGTGTGACCAAGTGAGCAGCTGGCATGTAAGGTGGAGACTACACCCCACCTTGTCTTTGATCCTGAGCCAGAGAGGCAAAATCAGGCCCAGCTCGAAGTCTAAGTGAGAGGGGACAGGGGAACTCTGTGTTCCACACCTGGCTCTGGCACCTATGGGGAAGATAAGTCACCTGACACTATGAGGCCGAGTTTCCTCCATTTTAAAATGGGAGTCACACCACTTCATACTGTTGGTGTGAAAATTAAATGAGAATTGAGGGTGTCGCATTGGTGCACTATAGCACTCTCCTCCACAGGTGCCCCTGGTCTCTGTTGTCTGCTCTGTGAGGAAGGGACTTGTTTTAACCAGCTGGTAAGAACTGAATGCTACATCTGCAGACTTGGAGAAGTGGGTATTTTAGAAGAGCAGCCAGGAAAGGGCAGTGCCTATCCATAAGAAGAAACGAAGCATCAGCAGTGAAACATGTGCTCCAGGACGGGCCCTAGGGATCCCCTCAAAGTCTCATGCTGAGTTGTAGCATGCCTAGCTTGTCGCTAGGAGAAAGGTCACTTCAGTGATGTCTCGCATTTGGAGATGGAACCAAAAGATATACATAGCAAGCAACTTTGAAAAGATAATTTTATTAGCTTCATGACAGCTGCCACAAGTCAAGATGTGAAATGGGACAAAGCTCTGGCAGCTTCCAACAAATGGCATGGAAAAGCCCTTCCATTCTCTCCCTATCCTTGGGCCAGGGTCTACGTGGGAGTCCCAAGAACACCCTACTTCATTACCTTTCAGGGTAGGAACAGATTCAAGCAATACATTCTTGTTGGTAATTAGGATATTTTGTCCCCTAGCTATTTCCCTAGGAAGGAAAGGGAATTGCACTGGCATTCTAGACACTTAGCTCAGGACTGATCTGGCCTATCAGCCTCTGTTCTGGATCATTGACCATGAGCACAACATTCCAAACTACCAATTAAGGTAGTCGTCAGCATTCTGGAGGGCCACCCAGATTCTAGAATACAAAATAAGAACCCCTTAACTTTTTAGGAGAGTTTACCAGGAACTCTATATTCTAGAATGTCTGCATTTCAAATCAACTAGAACTCTGACATTATAGTTTGCTAACCAGGAATCCGGTGTTCTAGAAAGTCCAACGAGAACCAACCACCCCTAACATTCTGAAGGGTTAACATGGAATTCAGCATTCTATAGTGACCAGAAGATGCTCACAATACTCCAGATCCAGACACCCAAAGTTCTAAATGTCAAAATTAACGCTTACAGTGCCAAACCAGAAAACCAACACTTAAGACCATCAACCCTGGTCTCAGCATTCTGGAATCACCAGCACAAAGTTCCACCCTCCAGAATGCCACTTTACTGCCCCACTCAGAGTTCTGTGGATGGTCGCTCCACAGCTGACCCCTCATCCTGACTGGAGCTGGGCACTCGGAAGGAAACGTAGGGACAGGTCTTGGTGTTGAGGCAGACCAGCTTCTTCAGTGTGGCTGTGTTGACAATGCTGAAGCCCATCTCACCACCAAATGTGCTTGGCTTCCAGTACTCTGGAGAACAGATGGGATTCCCTAGGAGTCCCTTGAGGGAAAAGGGAGCCCCAATCTCAATCATACTCTCCCCGAAGATGGAGTTTGGTAGGCATTTTTCAAGAAGCAACCCTGGGTAAAACTCTAAGGCATTGATGTCTCCATATAACTCCTCCAACTCAGCTGCCATCTCCTTGTCCCCTGCAAAAGGGAGAAGCTAGAGTCAGAGTCGTATTATCATTAAGGTAAATCTGGGGAGGGAATCTCCTACATCCACCTTTTTTCTGGGGACAATAGAGACTCCAGAAGAATAATTCGGGCAACTGAGCAAACGTCTTCAAATTTGGCCTCACTAGTGCTATAGAAACGGTTGGGAAGGAAAGCACACACTATCCCTTGTCCTGGTCTGAGCTTAGAAGAAAGATTCCAAGGGCCTAAAACCTCCACCAAACAGCTCATCCCTTGTCTCAGGGCACTAAATATCTGGTCATTACAATAAGAAGGATTTTGCCTCACTTGCTTCATTCGTAGGTGAATTTCAGGGTCTTCTCTGGATCCAAGCCCCTCTATTAGGCTAATCATCAAGGATACAATATAATGGATTCAAGTTCAGACAAACATCAGTGAAAGTCTTCTTTCTGCCCTGATAGACCATTTGTCACAGGGATTAATTAGTGACAAAGATTCCTGTTCCAGGATCAGAGGAAATGTACCGCTGATCCCAGGCTCTGCTCTAGTCTAAGGTTGCAGACAGTGACCAAAGGGAGACAGACATGGAGCTTCCCTATCTGTTTCCTCAAATCCACACTCCTCCCTAGAACATCGTGGAGGTGTCACATCACACCTTCTCCAGCAGCTCCTGACTATCTATGACCCAACCTGGCTGTCCAACACCTGGGAAATCTGTGTGTGTGGGGGGGGTGTATGTGTGTAGATCCTTGAGTACCACATAGGTCTACTGAGTCAGAATCTCTGGGAGAGGCATTTGAGATTTGGGAGATTTTTCTGTTTCATTTTTGGGGATTTTGTTCTGTTTTGACCCAGGGGATTGAAACTAGGGCCTTGTGCATGCTAAGCACATGCTACACAGTCAGCTACATCCCCAGCTAGATTTGATATTTTAATTTGCTTTCCAATTATGCAGCTGGTCCATAAGTGGGTATTTAAAAACCACTACACAGGCTAACACTCAAAATCGTGAACATAGAACCCAAGATTCCGCGTAGTTTGGTGCCAACCCTCCCTCCCTAAACCAGCACCAACCCCAGACATAAACCCCTTGCTCCAACCACATCTATGGCTGTTCTCCCAAATGGATACCTACTTTCTAACCTCTAAGGCCTTTCTACTCCCTTTCTCTGCTTCTATTCTCCAGCTGGAACATTCCTACTTATCCCTCAAGCCTAGCTGAAAAGTTCCTTTTCTCCCTGAGCAGGGATATCTGCCACACTCACTTCTCCTTATAATTCACACACTCGCAGTGCGGGCCACGAGTATTGTCTCTGTTGGCTTCACGTCTCTCTCACTTTCCTGCACGTCCCTTGAGGACAGAGACTGTGTTCAGGAAGCAGCTGCTCACCTGTGAGCTCCTGGAAAGAGGTGTAGGGCTTCATGCCAAATCTCTTGCGGTACTCATTGAATGGCTGTAGCCGCATCTCTCGAGCCTCTTTGATGACCTCCACAGCCACATGCAGAACATGGTGGTCTATGTTCCTACCTCCACCAATCTGCCAGGAGATAAGCACAGCTATTGAACGGAGAGCCAGGACAGGTTATTGTGGAGATTGTAAGGTCCTTGTAAAGAGCCTCAAGTCAGGAGTCTCTCTACATGGACAAAGAGAATGGTGCAGCCCGGAAGCCATGAGGTGGGTGGTCTGGCCCTAGCCCTTCCAAATCATGCTCTCTCTCCAGGAGCCCCTGAGAGTCTCAGCTTCCCCAGTACTGAAGTACATAGTTGGCCAGGACGATCTATGTACTGACTCAAAACCTACACTGCTCCCCCACCCTGTTGTAACCTCTTTTGAAGGGAGGAAAAATAAGGCTCAAAGCCCAGGTAACCTGGTAAGATAAAGAAGGCCCCAGAAAACACTTCTGACTCATACAGTGAAGGAGCATCGGCCTAAAGAAATCTCTGTTCTGGGCTGGGGATTTAGCTCAGTGGTGCTGTCGCCTGCCTCGCAAGTGCAAGTTCCCGAGTTCAATCCCCACGTACCAAAAAAAAAAAAAAAAAAAAAAAAAAAAAAAGGCTCCTCTGTTCCTCCGGCAGTGTTAATAGTTCAATGGAAGTATGATGGGCAGGGATGAAGCATAGTTAAATAAAATCATACAACTTGGAGCAAAGCACAGTTAAACAAAGCAAGCACCCGCACTTGAGCATTTACAAGCTGCGGTGCTGCTGTGGGTAGAACTACGCCCCGCCCCGAGATCCTAACCCGCAGCACCTGTGACTATGACCTTATTTGGAAACACAGCAGTTCCCCCTTATTGGTGGTTTTGCCTCCATAGTTTCTGCTACCCACCATCAACTGTCCTCCAAACACATTTAATGGAAAATTCCAGAAATAAACAATTCATGAGTTTTAAACTGCGCGATGTTCTGAGTAGCACGATGAAATCTAGCGCTGTTGCTCTCATTCCTTCTGAGGGTATGAATCATCTCTCTGTCTAGCATATCTGCATCACACAAGGTACCTGCTTGTCAGCCATTTATGGTGACAGCTGACTTGCTATCAGATCGACTGTCATGATACCACAGCGCTCATGTCCAACTAACCTTCATGTAGGAAAATAACCCTGCAGCAGATGCCTGTGTCCTGCATCTCCCTTTGTCCCACTACATAGGTACTGGGTCACCTCCCCTCATCATCCCAAGGAGATGCACAGTAATATAAAGAGAGAGACAATACGACTCAGGGTGAGGGGCGGGGCTATATCAACACACTTTGCAACAGAATATTGCAGAATGCTATTATAAATATTCAATTTTATTCATTGTTACTACAAAAATCTCTGGCCGCGGCTAATTTATAAATTAGGCTCTTATTATAGGTGTGTATGTATAAGGAAGGAATAGTATATGCAGGGTTCACTACCCTCTGCAGCTTCAGACATGCACTTGTAGGTCTTGGACATATGCTCATGGATACAGGGGACCACTGCAGAGTCTCCACAGATGGAATCGAGTTACGATGAGGTCATATTCAAGTAGGGTGGGCCCTAATCCAGTAACGGAGTCCTTCCAAGATGAGAACAGGGACACAGGGAGAACATCATGTGACGACAGGGGCAGAGACTGGAATGATGCAGCTACAACACCAAGGAACACCAAGGACTGTCGGAAACTAAGAGGAAGGCATGGAACAGACCCTTGCCTAGAGTATGACCCTGCGGATACCTTGATCTAGACTTCCAGCCTCCAGAACTGTGAAAGAATAAATTTCTTTTGTTTTGTTTTGGCTTTTGTTTGGTTTAGTTTTGGGTTTTCAGTGTTGGGGACTGAACCCAGAGACTTCAAACTGAGCTACATCCCGAGCCACTTTTAAAGTTTTATTTTGTTTTTGAGATTAGGTCTTGCTGACTCACTAAGTTTCCCAGGCTGGGATAGACTATGTGATCCTCCTGCCTCAGTCGCCCAGAGTGTTGGAGTTAGAGACATGTGCCAACACTCTCAGCTGAATTTTCTGTTTGTTTTAAGCCAGTGAGTTTGTGGTACTTTGTTATGGCAACCCAAGAAAACAACTACAGGGACACTGGGTAGTTAGTTGAGCTACGTTTGAGTTTCCTCATATGTAAAAATGGGGAAAGTAAGAGCATCCACCTGATACTGTTCTGGTAAAATAAATGAGATAAAGGATGCAAAACAGTTATCGCAATGTTGATCACAGGCTCGCCTGATGATCATTATGGAGAGTCCTGGTTTATCACTTCTCGCATGGTTTTTAATATCCTGAGACTCAACACACTTCTGCTGTCCTTATGCCTTGTGCCATGTTCAATGCCAGGCCCTTTTCCACATTCATCCTGGTCATTTCTGAAAAATGCTCTGGAAACCACATAGCCCCACACAAAGGCTATTGTGTCTGCCCATATCTGTGCCTCATAGGGAGCGGAGGCCACAAACCAGCCAGCTGCACAGGTGGCAGCATCTGCTAACTCTAGGCAAATTACCAGATAGAGAAGTAACCCCGGATGGTGTCAAAGCTTCAAGACAGGGTGTAGGGACAAGGATTGGAGGGAGGCAGAAGGCTGATGATGAAAATGAGAGATTCAGAGAGCTGAGACAAAGAAGATGGGAGAATGCGGAGAAGGAGAGATTTAAGAGGGAGTTGGTTAGAATCCCAGGAAAGGGGCATGTTTTTGTTTTCCAGGGTTGCTACAACCAAGTCCTACAAATCTCGGTGGCTTAAATACAAAGCATTATATCTTCTGCGTCGGAGGTGTCAGTGGGGTTGGCTTCTTCTGAGGCCCCTCTCCCTCCCTCTCTCTCTCTCTCTCTTTGGCTTGTCATTTCGCTGTGGCTCCACATGGTCTTCCCACTGTGTGTGTCTGTATCTTAATCTCCACTTCTTATGAAGACGATAGTCATATTGGATTAGGGCCCTAATTTCCTCATTTAACCTTAATTGCCTCTTTTAATTGCATTTTTTCCAAATGCAGTCATATGATGAGGTTCTGGGGATTAGGATTTCAGCATATGGCTTTTGCAAAATTTTGCAACTTTGCACAACTCATACCATTTAAAGATACTCTGGTTTAATAAGCAATTACTATATGCAGGGTTTTTCACATATATTACCATGCCCTGAGTGTGCTCCTGTTCCTCAGATTAGTGTGCCTCCTGCTGTCCCTCTATCTGGAGCACAATCATCCTCTGCCCTGGGAAATCCCTGTCCATCTTTCCAATTTCTGCTCAGTTTCTGTCATTTCCTTTCCTGTAATCCTGACCTCTGGGCCAGAAGCCCCTCTGAATTCCAGGGCACTGTGGCCTTTCTGTATTGTGGCTTTTAACATGTTCTTAAAATTCTTCTCCCTCTCTGGATGCACTCAGCAAAGGGACAAGGACCCAAGAAAAACATCAGCCTTGCTCATCACTATATCCCCAACACCTGAAGAAATAAGATTTCCCCATGAACAAGAGAATTCACAAAGAATGCTTACAACTGCCCAGTAAAAATGACACTATCCCCACCTCACAGACGAGGAGACGGATTTGGCTCAGGTCTGCTGGATCCCGGAGCCCACACACCCTCACCCTTACTCCTCCAAGACTCACCCGGCCAGCTCTCTGGCGAGAGAAGGCGTCCACCAGGGCCTCGACTCCGTAGTCCACTAGCATCGAGGTGTTGAACAAGAACTGCTCATAGCTGTACTCCTGGGAGCCCACCCTGAAGGAGTCAGGCATGAGTGGGTGCCAGTGATAGAGGTGGTTGAACTCCATGGCAATGCGGTTGCGATACTGGAACTGGGCTCGGAACAGCAGCTCAGGGTCAAACTTGAGCTGCAGGAAGTAGCCACTCAGCTGCTGCACGTACTCCTCGATGACGATCTTGATGGTCTCTCCTGCACGGGGAGGATGGGAAACAGGATCAGCAGAGCAGTGACCCATAATCGAGACACCAAACCTGGAAAGCAGGCTGGCAAGTGAAAAGCGCTTCCTTTTTGTCTCTTTTTTTGTGGTTGCTGTTAATTTTATCTCACCACTTCCACTTTGTTTCTTTGTAACAGGATGTGAAAATGGACCTTTCTGACTCAGGTTTTTCTGGGGTCTCACAAGAGCACTGCTGCTGCCACATTCCAGAGGGAGCTTTAGACCCAGGTAAGCAGGAAGGGCAAAGGAGATGTGTGAGAACCAGCTCTATGATCCTGGGGGAACACCCTCCACTGCCCATTAAAAGAGTTTGGAGATACCTGAAAAGACAGAGAAGTGGGAGACTGGCTTAGCAAAGGCTGGCACCATGCTGGCACCCTCAGTGGCACAGGGGGTTTCAAACAGACCACACGCACAGCTGCTACAGCAGCCAAAGAGGGATCCCAAGGACAGGTGTGCTTAGCCCTAAACATATCTGAAAAAATATACTTCTTAAATCTTCATATATCAGCATTCTGATAGATAGAATTCTCCTCTGCCCCCTCAAGAACCGGCTACAGTGCAAACAGCTGGGGAAGAAGCAAACTGAACATTCCGTAACAAAATGAAAACTGGTCAACAAGGTATTAAGAAACTGATGTTTTGGGCCATTGCCTTTGAGTTAATTGACCCAGAGCTACAGAATTTGGAATCAGCTGACCTGCGTCCTCATCTCAGCTTCACCATTAGCAGCCACCTCGCCTTAGCCAGGTTACTCGACCACTCTGAACCTCACTTTCCTTATCTATGAGATGTGCACTGTATTGATGTCAGAGTAGTAATATGTATTGGGTGGTGTGAAGTGGACAAGGCATGCATCTAAACTGGTGGCCCCGGGGCTGGGCATAACAGGCAGTGTTGACACATTGACCGGAAGGAGGAGTACTACGTATTTGCTGTCACAAGAGACCAGAGTGAGGCTCACAACCCTTCTCCACTCAGGAAGGCGGCCCCCTCATAACACAGTGGTAGCAGCATCCTGTTGGCAGTCAGACATAATTCAAATCTCTCTCTACTGAGTGACCTTGGAGACTTCCCTTAACCTCTCTGAATCTTAATTTCCACAAAAGTAGTCACATTTGATTCACAAGATTAGCCAGGCATGGTGCTGCACGTCTACCTACAATCCTAAAACCCCAGGAAGCTAAGACAGGAAGACCAAGCTCACCCTGGGCAATTTAGCAACTTAGCAAGACCTTGTCTCAAGCTAAAAATTAAAACATAAAGCCTGGGGATATAGCTTAATATGAAAGCCCCAGGTTCAATATTCACTAACAAGAAGAAGACAAAAGTTGTTATGCATCACTGGATGGGCCATGCCCAAGGGATCTTGCCTTTGGTCACCAGCCAGTGTGCTGCGCAGCCTCCAACTATACACTTTCCCTCTCTGGTCAAGGTCTCTGCAATGCTTGGGTCTTCAGAACCAGCCCCTCCACACTCTTCAAGCCATCCCTATCCCTGATGCCTGCCTCTCCAAGGCTCCAGTGAATTAAACACTATAATTGGGACCAGCCATGCCCAGTGGTGCCCAGAAGTAGGGAGAGGAAGTTGCTAGTGACTCAGAAAGAACATGGTCTGGACAGGGATGTTAGGGTCCAAGATCCAGGCAGGAAACCATCTGACATTTTAGGTTGCACACGCCCCCGTAGGGGTACAAAAATATCCTATCCTTGAGTCACCTAGAAGCTACCAAACTCCAGAAAGGCAAATACATGTAGGGCAGGAAACACGAAGCCTCCTGGAGACCGGGCAAGCTGGGATTTTTGACCCTGTGTGTACTGGGGACGTCAGGTGTGCATCTGGGTGCAATAGGAAGGGAAACTGAGACCTGGGGTGGCTGATCAGATGTGCTGTGAGTAACCCAGCTAAGATTCAACATCACAGTCCCTCTTTTTCTGCAGGTCTACTACATGCCAGGTGTCTTTCCATTCATTATCTCAGTGAATCCTACAACAATCATCACTCTGTTCAAAATACAGATTTGGAAACTGAGGCTCACAGACATGGAGGGACCTGCTCGAGATCTCATGCTGGAAAGCAGATGCAACAGGGCTGGTTCAGAGCTCTCACCTATCAGGATGAGGCGGGTGGTCTGAAAGAGCTGTTCGTCTTCCCAGGTGGGATGCTCTGCCTTCAGCAGGTCACACACACGGTTGTGCTCACGCAGCCAGAGTGTGGCGTAGAGCATGAGCCCCGGCAGCAGCCCAAACACCTCTTGGCCCACGGCCATCTGTTTTTGCAGTGGGATTCCCCTTGGGTAGTGCATCAACACGGGCGCCTCTTTCACTGATGGTGGGTACATCTCCCCGTCCAGCACCTGCGGGACAGGAAGGCCTAGCAAGCTGGCCACTGCATGCCTGCATCTGCCCCAGCTGACTCTCGCCTGCTCCTACCTCAGCAACCTGTCCTTCCTGACCACGCCCCTGGTCCTGCCTCTGAATCTCCTCAAATCTGTCCCCAGTTCTCCATCTCTGTTACCGTCACCCTGTCCAACCCATCCCCATACTCCTCCCTTCTTCCTGTCCCTCAGTAGGCTCCCTGTGTCCACACTTGCCCCCAGACAGTCCTTTCTCTATACTGGAGTTAGCACCATCTTTAAAAGACTCAAATCTAGTATCAGACCCTAGCTTGAAACCCTTCCAACTCCTCTCTCTGCTCTCGGAAAAAGTCAGCAATCCCTAACACAGCCTCCTGCAGGCATCTCCGCACTCATCTGCAATCATTCTTGCCCTCCGTTGCTAGGCTCAGCAAACAATCCCATTCTTACATTCCCTCCGTGTTGCCCGAGCTGCTTCCTCTCTCCCAGCCTGTACACATGCTACACCTCCTACCTGGAAAGTCTTCCCCCTTTCTGAGCCTCTTTAATATCTCCTCATCTTTCATGCAAATGTCTTTTCTTGGAACTGATGAATGAAATCTCTCCTAGGGGACACTGTAATGGTGCCCAGCATCTCCTTGGTGGCAGTCATCCCAAGTGTCACTAGTTACATGGCATTTGTATTTACTTATTAAATATACACACTGCCTCATTACTATATGCCAAGTACCGTTCTTAATCTTAAAGATTCAGGAGACGACTTTGCTTTGGTTTTTGTTTTAGATTTCCACAATCCAATATGGCAGCATGTGACTGTTAAGTATTAGAAATGTGGCTAGTGTGAATGAACTGAATTTCATTTATTTAGCTTTTACTTTAGATTTTAATTTTAAAACTGATACTTCAGCTGCTGGAAAACCTTTAAGTATGTTTGGAACAACTTGGGTACGTGAATCTATTCACTCAAGTATAAACTTTATAAAATCTAAATCTAATCTTTGGAGATTTAATATTTCCAAAGAAAACTTAGCATCCAAATTGAAATGTTCTGTGACTATAAATGCATATCTGATTTTGAAGATTTAGTGTGGAAGGAGCATGAGATCTTTCATCAATAATTTTTGTATGGATTACATGTTGAAATGATAATATTCTAGATATACTGCATCAGGTAAAGTATGTTATTAAAATACATTGCACTTATTTTTCTTTTTTTAGTGTGGCCACTACAAAATTTTTGTTACACATGTGGCTCACATTATATTTCTGATGGACAATGCTGATTTGGACAAGAAGTCCCTATGGAACTCATGTCCTAGCATTTATGTTTGTGACTCCTGACAGGCTGTGGGTCACCGAGGGCAGGGTTCATAACTATGATGCTCACCGCTCAATCACTTGCTCAAGGCACATCGTGGTACCCCATTAGCACTGCAGGATAATTAAGTGAATAAATGCAGGAAGCAAATTTCCATTTCCTATTGAGCTCCAAATCCCCCTCCCCAGAGGACACAGGAGGCCGTGTCTACTCCTCATTTGGGGTTTCAGCCTCTCCTACTGGCACATATCTCCAGCTCCCGTGGCTGGCCCTCCAGGACATGCTCCAGCCCCCTCCTAGCAGACTTTGCCAGGGAGACCATGGGACTCCTTCCCACAGCCCACCCCCCAGGCCGAGTTCTACCTGATACTTGAGTTTCCCATCCTTAAAGAGCCGAAGGTGATACTGGCGTTCTAGGTTATCTCCATAAATGTGGCCAAGGTCTACCTGAGGACAGAGAGGTCCACTCAGATTGCCCATCCAGTGATGACCTGAATGTGCCAAGTTAGGTCCACAGCAGTCCTGAGTCCCTCCTTTCTCAGTACTTACCCCATGGCCCAAGGCCTTGGTGAAGCCAGGACCCATCTTGCCAGAAGTCTTGAAGAACTGGTGGGTGAAGTGTTGTGCAAAGAAGGCAAACATGAGGTTTGTGCCTTGGGGATCAGGGATGAACTTCCTCCTGAGAAGGAAGTGACGGCCCAGGAGCTCTGCATCTGGCAGTTGCTTCTTCCCTGGTGAGGTAGGCAGGAAAGAGCAGTAGATGCCTGGGTCCTGTCTCAACCTTCCTGCCCTGGGGGCTTCCAGGCTCAGCAGGCAAGTTGGCCCAGAAAGGAAGTCAAGATTGTCCTCTGCAACTCCACAGGAAGCCCCTGTACTCTCTCTACCAAAAGACCTAGAAGTATTATGGGCAAAATAGCATCATATTTGGAATTTACTTTAAAATAAATTTTAAAATGACAGGATAGATGAAATAAGATTGGCGACATGTGGGTAAATGTTAAAACTGGGAAATGGGTACATAGTTCACTATACTTTCCTCTCCATTTTTGTGTATATTTATAAATTTTGCATAATCAAAAATTAACCAAAATAATTTTTTTAAAATCTTGGGTTCCCTGGCCCTGAGACAAGGTAGGTTGTTTGCAACTGGCCATGTCTTCTGCTACCTTTGTGAATGTGGGATAATCATTTCATCTCTCTGAGCCTCAATTTCTTCATGTTGTAAAATAAGGCAGATGATGCTTATTTTATACAGTGTATTTGAAGATCATGTGAAATGATATAAGCATGACAGAGAACTGGTGAGGTCTAATCTTTTCAACCAAGAGTCATCAAACTTTTTATTGTAAAAAGACAACTAGGAAATGTTTTGGACTTTTCAAACCATATGGTCTCTGTTGAATCTATTCAGCTTGCTTTCATAGCAGAAAAGCAGCCATAGACAATATGTAAACAAATGAAAATAGAAGTGTACTAATAAAAATTTATTTGCAAAAATGGGTGGGCTGGATTTGGCCTACAGGCAGTAGTTTACCAACATATTCTAAAATGATGCAATCATTCTGTTTCTAGGTGAAAGATAGTAAGTCATGACCGATGTCTGTCATTATGAGAATAAGTATTGAGAGGCCTTCCTTAATGATGTCAAAAATCAGATGAGTCGACACCCAAGCCTTTGACAGAAAGGAACACTGAGATTTTTTTGTGGTCTGAGAAAAGCCTCCCTTTGCCTTACCTATATATATATAATGAGAGGCCCAGTGTGAAAGGTTTGAGATTAATGGAAATTCTTTCTATTGAGATGGCCAAATGTATTTCTCCGGCAGGAGGCAATATCAAGCACCCTAAAAGGTACTCATAAAAAGTAAAATAGGAAGGAGCAGTGTACAGCTCACAATTTGGAATCATCACTCATTGGCATCAGGCAAGAATTGATTTCAGCAGTGTTGATGAGATTGAGCTGTCCTGGTGGAACTGGTCAAGATCTGGGAATAGCAGCTAACTGTCTCAGTGAAAATCAACAGAGTAGTAGAGCCCTGGAGACCCAAGCAAGTTTCAAAACCTGCCAAAGGACAATCACAGGACTGCACAAGGCTGGTGTTCAACAGCGACACCATGTGTTGAGAACTGAAGCTACAGCAGCGATAGATTGATGAACCTCCTGCTGTCCTTGAAGCTTAAGTGATGGCTCTGAGTACCCCCCCAGGTTTCTGGACAACTAGAGGTGGAATGGAAAGACGGCCTCTTGAGGAAAACCTCTGCCAGTGAGTACAAGTGGGTCTTGGTGGGACTGAAGAAATCCCAGTTTGTGCCCTACCCTGCTGAAGCATGATCAACTATTTACATTACTAAAGAACCAAACACAAAGTCAGCACTCAGTCCATAGCACACTGTTCCTTCCATTCTACATTTAAACCTGGAAGTCAGCTCCACCCCAGCATAATCCCCCTCGTTGGTAGAAAAGTTCAGACAAAGGGATACCCTGAAAATATAAAAATATTAGCTTGTCTCTGCCCTTGACTTTCTGGGTAACCTCAGGTGAAACCTTTCTACCCTTTCCTGTCCTTATCCCTGGTTCTGTTCATGTCAACGGTCTGGCCTTGGTCCACCCATCTGTGAAATGGATCCCTAAAGGCTCTTCTATCTGCTTTCTCCCAAAAGGAGATCTGAGCACCTACTGTGATCCCCAGCTCCTCCTCTGACCCCCTTACCTTTGGTGCCCATGGGCTTGGGGCAGTCTTTGGGCACAGAGGGTAGAATTCGAGTATAATAGCTGACATTGGAAAAAGACTCCCAGCTGATGTAGTCATGTGCTAAATTGTAGGTGGGAGGGCTGGGTATGAGGTTGGAACGCACTGCAGAGAGCAAAGATAATGGTGACAAGGATGTTCCCACCCCAGTGACACCCCCTTCCCTTCCCTGCCCCATCTTGGGTTGGGGCTTGTTTTATCTGGCATCTAAAAGGCTCCTCATCCAATGCCTTTATCTGACCCCAAGAATCCCCAAGAACAGGCCAGACTTCTTATCCCCCAGATTAGAGAGGCCCTGCCCCAAACCTACCTGTGAGTACCACGCGCATGAGCGTGTCTCGGATGAAAGAGGCATTGATAAACTCCCAAAACCAGCGTCCATGTGTGAGCAGGAAGTGAAAGAAAGCAGGGCTGGGCCGCAAGGAATTCCGGAGCCAGGTCCAGAGCTCAGCTGCAGGGGCAGTGGGAGCTGCTCAGTTGGGCCCTGCTGGCAGATCCAGAAGTAGCCAGGGCAGAAGGTGGGACTGGGGGTGGGTCAAATAGGAGCAGGTAGGCACTTGAGGGTAGGGATAAGGATACAGCCTTGGGAGTGGTGGCATAAGACAGAGCCAGACCAGAAATGAGGACCGGGGTGGGGGTGTAAAGAATCCCCACAGAGTCCAGAACTAAGGAGTATGGGTGACCCAGCAGCGAGAGCTCCCATGGGAACCAGGTCAGGGGAAAGGGTCAGGGCCATGAGGGAGCAGGGAAGCATGGCCAGAGACAAAGGCCAGAAGTGGGGTCGAGAAGGAGGATCCAGGGGAGCATGAGGACCCAGAGAGAACGGGGGCTGGAATCCCGGCTCACGGACGGTGCAGTTGGGGCCGGAGTAGCCCGTGCGGGTACAGTCACACTGGTAGTGGTCACGGCCAAAGCGGACACAGACACCCTGGTTCTGACATGGAAAGTAGCAACAGGGGTTCACTGTGGATGAGAAATAGGCGTCAGAGACCAAGTGAGGGGCCTCCTGACCCAGCCAGTTCTGCGGGGGAGGAAAGTGCCAGAGGTGGGGACTCAACTGACAACTATGCTTGAACTACTAAGTGACCCTCTCTGAATTTCAGAATTCCCCCAAAGCCACCCTATGCCCATTCCCAAGCCAGGAGCATAAAGCCCCCAACCTGCTGTTTCTAGCCCCTGCTCTGGACCTCTGCCTAACCTACACTGGGCCTCAGGGGAACTCTCCCTTCCTTCCCGGCTGTCACCAAATGGGGACAAGGGAAAAGTCCAGACCCTGAACTGTACCACTGAGGCTAGGAAGCAGCTGTTAAGATACTGCAGTCACAGGCTTCCTGCCTACTCAGAGCACAGCAACGAGGGCAGGGTTTGCGGGGTTTGGATAGGGGACAAAGATGGGGATAGGGTTTCTCCCAGATCAGTCCCCAAGTTTGGAGCACCTGGATATTAGGAAAAAGGAGTTCTACCACCACCTCTCCATTTCCACAGGAGGAAGGGAAGAGCAGGTATCAGAATGCCCACTTTGCAGGTGGGAAAACTGAGGCCAGAAAAAAGGGGAAAGTCAGATAGGTCCCCACCATCCCAACAGGCTCAACAATCAAGAGAAGACTTTTCCAGAACCCTGGGCACAGAGGCTCAACAATCAAGAGAAGACTTTTCCAGAACCCTGGGCACAGAGTGAGCATTGCAGAGAGGAGGGGAATCCCAAGGTTTTAGCTTCCTGAGAGACCCAGACTCAGCCCCAGTCCAGGTGGAAAGGTAGGTCTGAAGAAGGTCGTGACTAAGGGAACAGAAGAGCCTGGGCTGGAGGATCTCCTGAGACAGTAACTGGAGCCTGGCAGCCACCTTCCTGCCTCTTGGAGAAAGCCCACAAGGAAGTCCTTCCCTGCGTCTAACCCAGATCCTGCCAACCAACACCCCTTGCTCAATCTGCTCCCCTCAGAGATTCTTCAGCAGCAAAGTTAAACCCTTTAGGCTCATTCAGGCTCCCTCTCACCGTGTACCAGGAAGAGTGCACCTCCCTGCTCAGGAAACTGAGGCTCGGGTGAGGTGGAGACTTGGCCAAGAACACAGACCAGAGCCAGGCAGACCCAGGACTCCTGGCTCCCAGCAGGAGCCTTCCATTTACAAATGCCAGAATCCCTTCTGCAAACATACTTCCTTCTCTGGGCTCAGGGCCAGCTCTTTGTGTAACCGACGATTGGGGGTGGGGGATCAAGAAGGCAGTGAAAGGTGGGAGCAGCCTGGGATGAAGTGTTCGGGGTCACGTTCGTGTGCTGGGTTCAGAGGCCACGACCCCGGGGAAGACCTGGTTCCTGTAGTCTCAGTATCCCCACTCCACAGGTGTCCTCCTGCTCCCCCCAAGAGAAGACCTCCACCCACACACACAAGCAAAACTCAAGAAATCATGCAAATCATTTTTGCTTAAGCCCTGGTGACTCCCCACAGCCTCACAATGACATCTACATGGCCCCAGCAAGGGTGAAGGAAGGAGAAGCCAGGAAAGAAGGCTGGACAGAAAACTTTATCAGGAGTCCACAGGCAGACCTGGCAGGCAGGACCCCAGCCTCCACCTCTCGTAGCCACAGGCCCAGAAAGGCAAGAGGCTCAGCACGCACCCCTGCCGGCTGGCCCCCACCCCTCCACCCCACCCCCGCTGGGACTTTCCTTAAGGATCATCCGCAATCACCCACCTGATTCACCTACCAGGAGACCCAGAAGCTCCCTGGTACCCAGCTCCCAAGCCCAATCCTGGGCCCTTGGGTGGGACAAGCACAGAGCTAAAACCCAGGCCTCCCTGGACCCCAGTTCCCCATCTGTACAGCAGCAGGGAATCACCGGGTCCCTGAAGCTCAATCCCATTGACCAAGGGTTTCACTGCTCCTCTATTAGCCTCCTCCCCAACTACCTGATCCTGCCCTCCAGGACCCATCCCCCCCAAGTCCCCATTCTAACCCCTGCCACCCCACCCCACCCCCGCTCGTCTCCACCACAAGTGTCCAAGAAAAGAGCCCACACCTCTCCCAACATCCTCCTCCCTACACAGTCTGGTCTAGGCCCAGATCCTAGGGAGACCCAGACACGCAGGGAGTCCATGTGGTGGCCAGAGCTTAGCACACATCTGTGGAATTAACAGAATGACGGAGGGAGACTGACCACTCCCCACTTGGCTGGCCCAGGGAGGCCTCCTGCATGGTCCCCTGGTTCTGCCCCAGCTCACGGAGGAGTGGCAGGCTGGATTCGGCAGAGACTGCCCATGCCACAGCTACTCAGCCAAGAAAGGCCCGTCCCTGCAGTCTCCGCCCACTGCCCGGCTCTGCTCTTTCCATAAACACCAGCTGCCCCAGGGCAGGAAAAGTCCTCCTAGGCAAAGACAACAGCTGCTACCAGGGCCCCAGAGAGCTAGGTGGGTGGAGACTGGGTGCTGCTTGACAGTGGCTGGACTGTTACAGCCAGACTGGGGAGTCCAGGGCTGTAACTGAGCAAAACTGTGAGCTCACACTCCCACCCCTTGTTTCTCCTGCCAGCTCCCCCAAGAAGGGGTGGGCACCTGAGCCTCCTGCTGCACATAGGAGGAACCTGCTGCCTGGAGAAGGCAGGAGACTCACCCAGGCTCCAGGGCTTGGAAGCTGCAGAACCCCCTTCAGATCCCCTTCCTGGAGGTGCCCAGGGCTGGATTTGGTAGAAAGATGGGAAAGAGGTATCCCTTTGATCCACAAACCAGGAATGACTACTGAGGACGACGAAGATTCCCGGTGACCTTGAAAATGTTGAATGAATGAAACCAGGACCCCTGAGGTCACCATCTCCTGCCGAAACCAGATCCCTGGGAACTGGAAGGCCCTTCCGCCAGCCTAATTCCAAGCCTGTGTGCTTTGTGGCAGCCCCACTCTGTGCTCTGTGGAGGACACCTGAACTGAGACTGCCCATCATTCCCGACGGTGTGATGAGCCATCCAGAAAGAGAGCAGAGGAGATGCTGGCACTGGATCTAACTCTCCCTGAGGCCAGGCACCAAGTAAGAAAAATGAATCAGAAAGAGGCTGCCATTGCTGACTGTGTGTCCTTGGCAAGTCCCTCCCACTCTCAGGGCCTTTCCTGGACAGGTATGTCCCATTGAGGGGGCAGAGCAGGCAGCTCCAAAGAGGCCTCCCATCTGCCCACCTGTCCCCCTTCTCTCTCAGGCGGAGCCAAGCTGTCCCTCTCGGTTGCTGGCATCAGTGTGACTCCCTGCCCCTCAGCAGAGACCACCACAGCTCGCTCTCGAGGTGTGCCCCAGGCCGAAAGGCGGGGCAGTCAGCCACCCACACTGTCGATAAGACACAGATCCAAAGGCTGAGAGTCAGTCCATATTCCTACGGATGACACCATCTGGGACTGCCCAGCTCCAGGGCCTTTCCAAGCATTTGGGCAAGGAAATGTCCTCCATCCTGAGAGTTGAGGTTTGGGGCACAAGGCTGAGCGTGACTAGGGGACAGGCACATCCGGGGAACACCAAGTGCTCCAGGATGCGGAGGCGACAGGCAGCAAGAGGTGAGGCTGCACCCAAATCCCCTAAAAATAATATTTACAGAAGCTCCAGGGGCCTGGCAGCCAAAGAGCAAAAAGAGCCCTGAGCAGCACCAGGACTAGACCCCAGCCCCTGCACTAGCTGGCAGGCAGTTCAGGCCAGGCGCCAGCACACCAGGCCCTCCCAGCAGCTTCAGGAGCCCAGCTGGAGAGGAAGCTCCCTCCGGGGCCACAGCTCCAGCTGGTGCTGGAGATAGGAGGCTGCAGGCAGCAGGCAAAGGGAGGCTTGGCACAGGCTGGGTTCTCGCCCCAGGCGCCAGGGTTAGCCGGCCCAACTCTGCCTGGGACACAGCTCTGGTAGCCAGGCCACACCCTCCTCCTTCCTAGGCACTGTGCACCAAGCCAAAGCCAGGGACTGGAGAGGGTAAACTTGAGCATCACCAATCTTTGGGCTCAGGATTGGCCCAAGCTGGACTCCATCTCCTCCCCGACAAGAGGCAGAAGCACCCTTCCCTCCACCACCTGCCCCTCCTCATCTCCTGTTCTCCTTTGATCCTCCTTGAGGGAAAGACGCAGGCTTCAGCTTCCTTGGGCCTCGGATGACTGGCAGACCCTCTGCCCCTGCACCGCACTTGTCTCACCATCCCCTCTCTCCCGGATCCTTGCAGGAGTCTCCAGACTCCGCTGCAGAGCCAGGACTCACCTCCATCCACCCACCTACTCTTCTCTCCATGAGCCTCAGCCACGGCCCTGCGCATCCAGCCCCTGCCCCTTGTCCACCTTTTCTACCCTCCAGGCCTCTTTTCCTTCTCAGACCTTTGCACCTCAGCTCAAACCGCTGCTTCCTACCAGAAAGACCCACGTGGGACCACTTCATCATAAGGCCTCAGTCTCCCCACTTGCTGCCTCCTTCAAGGCCTGGCTCCAGTGTCACCACCTCCAAACAAAGGCTCTCTCCATGCCTCGCATTGAGTGCAGCTGCTCCCCGCTGGGGTTCCGCACACCCCAGTGCTTCCCTCAGCCCTGGCTCCGATTCCACTGAATGACAGCCTGTTTTGCCTCCTTCGTCAGACTGTGAGCTCCTCCTGGCTCTGTCTTCAGGCCCCAGCCAAAGACTAGCACAAAGCAATTCCTCAGGAATGAAAAAAGCAATCCCATTTAAACACCGATGATATAAAGGCAAGTTTAAAAAAAAAAAAAAAAGGCAATGAAAACGAAAAGAAATGGCCCAGAACACAGCTCACACCCCAGCTCTGAGTTCATGCCCTACCTAGGCAGGGGTTACAAAGCTGGCTGGAAGGGATGAACCTGGCACCTGACTCCCCTGGCTCAGCCTGGCTCTCCAGGCAGGACTCCACTTCCTCCCTAACAGAGGCACCAGCAACAGGGAAAGACGGGCAGGCCAGCTCCTGGGTACCCAGGGGCCCAATGAGGCTGATGGGGCCTCTAAGGAAATGCTGGGCTCATCTGAGGGCTGACAGAGTAGGTCCCTGAGGCAGCCTGGTCAGCAATGGTTGTGCTACCAGCTCACTGTGGGGTCCGAGACAAGCAGGCTCACCCACGCTGGGCCTCAATGGTCTCCTCTGTAGAATGGGCCTAGCACATCTCCCATGGTGAGCACCAAAGAAATAGAAACACACACAGCCAACCTTTGCAAACTGTGCCGGCCACATGTGTCTTCCTAGCTTTTGCTGAACCCAAACCTTTCCCTGGACCATCCTCCATCCTCTTTTTCTTCCCCAAATGCTACCCATTGAAACCCTCTTCTCCCGCACAACCTGGTCTGATTCGCAGCTCAAGTAGATGCCTGTAGTCCCTCTCTCCTCTGTGGACCAGGTTGCTAAAGCCTCGTAACAGAAAGCTTGGACTCCCTCTCGCCTCTCCCGTCCTCTCGGCCCCTTTTTAGAGATGAAGAACGGGGACTCAGGCAGGGATGGGTACGGCTAGGTTGGTGGAAGGAGAGATGGCCAGGCAGCACATACGCGCATGCGCACGTGCACGCAGTTAGGAGGCGGACGGTCAGCCGGATAAGAGGTAGATTTCTTCCCGGAACCTGGTACATGCTGGGAGAGGGGGGCTACACGAGACCTAACTTTCCTCATCAGACCCCAGCCCATGAAACCCGAAGGGGCTCAGGCCCATTGCCTGTAAAGAGTGGAAGAGTTTCAGTGGAAAGGCTTTGCAAAGAGACTGGAATCAGACAGGCCTGAGCTCCAATCCCTAGCCCACCATGTACTGGGTGAACGTGGTGGGTATCTGCACCCACTGAGCCTCAGTTTCCCCATTTTGCCCCGTGGAGACCTAATAGGTAAAGTTTAACACCCAGAAAATGCAGCCCAGCTGTCGCTACATCTCTGCCTCCCGTCTTCCTGCAATGTCTGGTGTACCTGCAGTCTTTACCAGGAAGACCTTCCCACTAGGGCCGGGCATCGGGATGGATCCCCAGAAACTGAAGAGGCTGGAGAGAGAGGGAACTCTGCCCAGACGGCTTTCCCCGGGCGTCTGCCACTTCCTGTGCAAGGTCCCCACAGGAAGCTGCGGGGCTGTATGGGCGGTGGTGGCCTAGAAAGCTAGGGGCCCAGAGCAGGTGAGGAGGCGGGAGAAGAGATGTCCCTGCCCCCTGCCGACGCTAGATCCCAGGCTGCGGCTCACCCCAAAAGAATACCTTTGGGGTCTTCAGGGAGCCCACCCTGCCGCCACCAGACAGCCCCCTCCCCTCTCACAGGCACCTAGAGCAGAAGGGGAAGCTGGACCCCGCTGGAAAGGAGCGAGGGAGCCTCACAAGTCTCAGAGACCCGAGGCTCCTCGTGGGCACAGAAAGGGGCGCCTACCGAGTGCGGGCGCCCTAGGGTCCGCGGGCAGGACAGCGGGCGGCGGCAGCAGGAGCAGGAGCAGCGGGAACCGGAGCGAGAGACTCTCCCCTGCAGAAGAGAGAGGAAAGCGGAGCTGAACTCGGCGTTCAAGGCTCCGGCCAAGAGGCCACGCGGATTCCTGAGCACGCGGTGGGCACCGGGGTCGGACTCACTGCTCATGGCGCCGGGAGGAACGGCTGATGGGTGCGGGACGCAGACTCCGGCTCCTGGCTCCACCCCCGCCCCTCCCCCCAGCTGTCACCTCGGCCGCCACCCGCTTACTTCCTCTGCTCCCGCCCCAGCTGAGACACTTGTATTCGTTCTGTGATCGCTACCTAGGCTGTTTTCACCCTAGTCCCCTAAGGCACTTGACCTTTTAAAGCCTGGCAGTGCCAAAAATGTGTCCATTTAATAGCCAGGAAACTGAGGCTGAGCGAAGATGTGCAAAACTGAGGACCCCCGGGGTTGGGGTCCAAACTGAGGTCAGAACTGGGGCTGGAACAGCACGCCCAGCCGCAGAGAGAAGAAAGGGGTCAGAGACAGCAGTCCAGCCTGGCCGGCAGGTGGTGCCCCACTGCGGAACTGACCACGCTCAGAAAGGTCCAACTTTCTGCACCCCCACCTCAGGGCTGGACTCTGCTGGAAAGGAAGAGCAAGATTCCCAGCCAAGAGATGTGCATTCCAATCCAGACTTCACACCCTGCTGTGTCACCCTGGACAAGGTTCCTATCCTCTCTGGTCCTCAATACTCTCATCCATAAAATGGACATAATAACAAAACCCACCCCGAGGGGGGTGTAAATTTCAGGGCAGCAACATGCACACATTTCCCCTGCAGTAGGTGTTCAGTTAGCACGACACATTTTTCTTAAAGATGTCCTCAGACTCTAGGGCTGGCCAGGTGCGATGCTCCAGCCGGACTGGAATCCACCTGCTGACTACATAGTCCGAGTACCCGGCTCCTGTATTCACAACTGGAGAAACTGAACCTAAAAGAGGCAGAGGACGGGGCCATGAGTACACAGTCTCCTGTTCCTGCCACCCAGAGGTTCTGTCCCTCAGTTTCCCCAGCACACCCAGCCCCAGAACGAGGAGGGCCCCCAGAGCCCAGCGCCAGCTCCCAGGTGTCTCTGGGTGCGGGCTGAGAACCCTGCCAGGTGGGAGAGTTCAGATCTTCGGGCGAGCCCCTCTCCCTCCCATCAGAGAGGTTCCCAGGCTGCACTGGGACAAAAGCCAGCTGTCCCAGGAAGACGAGCAAGCCAGGGCAGGACCAGGGAGGAACTGGGGCCCTGCCGGTGCTAGGACTAGCTTCAACCTTCCCCACCACCCCGACCCAGGACCCCTGTAACTGCACAGACAGGGCGAAGAGACGTGAGCCAGCAAAAGGATGGGGTGAAAGTACATATTTGGGGGACTCTCTGGAGATGCAGAAAGAAGAGAGAAGCAGGAATGAGATTCCATCTTCCGTTCCCAGCCCCTCCCTTCCTCTGGGCCCCGAGCCTGACAAATCACCACACCTACACCTCCTGCCAGCACCTATGCCCAAGCCTCTCCCCTAGCACTGAGGGGAAATTATCTGGGACTCAGGACTGAGTTTGATTCTCACTTGTCCCATGCTGTGACCTTAGACCAGCCAACAGACCTCTTGAACAATAGGACGACCCGATCCGATGGCCTCTGGGAACAGGTCCTGTTGTGGCATGGAGCAAAGGGACCTTCCCATGGCCAGGCTCTGTGACCCACCGCAGGATGTCACAAAGGACGGATGCAGGGAAGGAGAGGCCAGAGGCCAAGGCAGCAGACAAGATTCCAGTGCCAGCCTCCAGGACAGGGCTGGACCCGGAGGGTGGAGTCAGGAAGAGGTAGTGGAGAGAAATGGTGGCCAGGGCACAGGGCTCACTGACTCATTGGCACTGGAGCTGAGGAGGAGAGCTGTGGAAAATACACAGGATTCTGGCTTGACTCAGGAGGTCACCGTGCTCTGACCCTCTGCTCCAAAGCCCGCTTCAGCAGCCTGAGGCTCTGAGAGTTAAATATTGCAGGTTTTCTTATATGAGAAATCTAAAAATAATAACAATAAGTGAATGAATAAGATAAATGAGAGATGATGGGAAACTAGAAGGTAGACTTTCAGAGATAGAGGAGAGAAGAGGAAAGAAAAGCAGTGGGTAATAATAGGGTTGAAAACGATCAACATGTTACGTGCATGTTCTGATATGCACAGTGAGCCTTGCCCTCCTGTATAGCTAATGTGCACCGATAAGAAAAGGGAGGGGAGGGGTAAGGTGAAAAAATGAGAGCCAAGACCTGTCATGTAAGGTGCACAATCCCAGTGACGAATGGAACTGTACTGTAGACCTAAAATGTACCAATAAACTCAATGAGAAAATAATTGAAAAGCCGATAGCCTGGATGTGCAGGGAGATTTGCTAACCCTCGGAAGGGCAAACTTCCACCCGTCCACCCTGGGGTCCCCCGGTAGCCTCCTATGAGCTGCCTCCCCACTTTCTCTCCTCTAGGCAGAGCCTGTGCCCTCCCCGGTCACAGCAGGGCTGGCTCAGGAGAGAGAGCCCCTCCCTCCTCCTTACTGGGCCTTGAGTGTCTGGGTCACTCCAGTATCCCCGAGGCCAAGCACAGGAACCGGCAAAGAGAAAGCATCAGCGATGTTGGCTGCTTGGATAAAAAAAAATGAACAAGTGCGTGAGAGAATGACCGAACACAGGACGAAACAGACCTTCTGCGAGGGACAGAGGGTCCAGGGACAGCCTCACGGAGGTAACTGCCAACCCATCCACGTGTGGTGAACCCCGAAAGTGCAGGTTGTCGGCCTCAGTTTCCCTGCCTTCCCCAGCTGGACCCATTGGCCAGCTCTTCCCCCTACCCCCACAGGTACAGCTCCACCCTTGGTCCTGAGCTGCTTCTGGCCAAGGCAGCAAGGTCTCCCCTACACACTCCTGGTGAAGCAGAGTGAGGCTGTAATTCCTCTGCCTCACTCCCTTGCCCTCCTGTCCACACTCACTAGGACCCGGATCACAAGGCCCAAAAGAGGTCGCACCCTCGGGGAGGAGGGCCACCTGCTATTTGGAAATCCAGAGCTGACTCACCTGAGTCACTCAGGGCCCAGCCCTACACAGCCCCACCTCTGCAAGCAGATCTGAGGCCAGACTGGAAAGTTCTGGAATGAGCCCAACATTTCTGCAAATCCCAGCCCCAAACCCTTGTCACCAACTCTCAATATGACCTGAAGCAGCCAACTGAGCTCTGTAGACCCCTGTGAAACAGAATTAATAATCCCACCCTTGCAAGCGTTACTGAGGTGGTCTGTGTGCAAATCCTCAACCTTAGTGGGAGCTCAGTGTTCGTTCTTCACCGCCGCTCACCTAAGCAGGAAAGCGTCATGGAAAGTCCTCCTCCTCTTCACTTCCCCAGTGCTGGGCTGGCACCGAGAAGTGGGAGCATGCAGTAGTAACCATGGCTAATCTTTCTGGAGTGTCTACTGTGCCCCCAGCGGTGCTATATGTTTTACCTGCATTCTTACAAGTGTCTTTCTCAACAGCCCTGGGAAGTCAGGAGTGTCACTTCCATTTACAGAAAAAGATACGTGGGCCGGGAATTTGGCTCAGTGGTTCTGCCGCCTGCCTCGCAAGTGCAAGGACCCGAGTTTGATCCATGATACCAAAAAAAAAGAAAGAAAGGAAAGGAAAGAG